TTGCTCTTGGGGTTGTGAGTTCAAGCCCCATGTTGGACATAGAACTTAACTTAAAAAAAAAAAATGTGCTTATAAGTTGGAAAGAACACATAGAGAATGCTACCTTTATGTAAAGAAGAAAGGAAGATAAGAAAACATCCATTATGTATATTTTATAAAGAGAAACACAGGAATGATAAACTAAGAAACAATATTTACAAAGAATGGAGGGAGAGCAAAATATGAAGAGAGGGGCAAAGGGACCTGGGAGAAAGTGACCCTTCTCTGAGTACCTTTTTGTATAAGTTTGACTTTTGAAAGCATGCTAGTGTTCTACATATTTAAGAAATAAAATAGTAAGGATGGGAAAAGGGAAAATCTAAAATTGAAAGCAAATTAAAACAAATGAACCCAATTGTATTTTAAATCAATACTATAAGCACACTGCAGGGAAAAAAGAAAACTTGTGAACATAGCATTTAATTATATTCCTTCAGTCTTGGGTTAAGGGAAGGGGAGAATGGCAAACAAATCCTAAACTATTTTAGTGTGGTTCTAAAAGTTTTAGATGTGATAGGGGATTGAAAAAAATGAGTGAAATTATCATTGTTGTTTGAAGCCAGGTTCTTAACATGGAAAGAGCCATACAAACGTGAATGGGGAAAAGCAAGAGAAAACCTATAGAGATGGATTGTAATTGGAGTTATTGGTGTGATCTTGTGATTTCTAAAATACGTGTGTGTATATTTACATGTATATATGCACATGCATATGCATGTGTGTATATTTGTATGCTCATATATATATATGTGTGTATGTATTCACTTGCCCTGTCCACAAAAAGCAAATATACCCCAATAGCAATGAGCATACTGTGAGCCTAGATCTTGACCTTCAGTATCCTTCCCCACTAAAATGAACCAAAGCTCCTCAGAGAAATAAATGACTGGTTCCAGGACTGGGGAAAACTAGGTTTGGGAAGAGCTTAGAGCATCTTGTTACACCAGAAAGAAAGGAAGTGTGAAAAGGAAGAAAAAATATGGGATTGTGTCACATGAGAAGTGAGCTTATTTGCTTTGTCTGGTATTAGTATAGCCACCTCTGCTCTCTTTTGGTTACTGTTTGCATGGAATATCTTTTTCAGTCCTTTTACTTTAATTTAAGCCCATTTGTGTCTTTAGATTTAAAGTGAGTTCTTTATAGACAGCATTGGACTATGTGTTTTTATTTTGACAATCTCTGTCTTTTGATTGGAGGGTTTCATCCCCTTACATTTACTTTTTTTTTTTTTTAAGATTTTATTTATTCATTCAAGACACGGAGATAGAGAGAGAGAGAGAGAGGCAGAGGGAGAAGCAGGCTCCCAAGGAGCAGGGAGCCCGATGTCCCAGGACGCTGGGATCATGACCTGAGCTGAAGGCAGTTGCTTAACCATCTGAGCCACCCAGGCACCCCTACTTTTTTTTTTTTTAAGATTTTTTTTTTTAAAGTAATCTCTGCACCCAACATGGGCCTTGAATTTACAACCCTGAGATGAAGAGTCACGTGCTCTACCAACTGAGCCAGCCACGTACCCCTATTCCCTTAGAATTAAAGTAATTACTAAGGAGAAACAACTTATTTTTATCATTTTGCTATTTGTTTCTGTTTCTCATAGTTCTTTTGTTCCTCATTTATTGTATTACTGTCTTCCTTTGTGTTTAATTTTTTGTAGTGAAATGTTTGAATTCTTTTTTCATTTCCTTTTGTGTATATTTTATAACTGTTTTCTTTTTGGTTACCATGACAATTACATTTAACATCCTAAAGTTATAACATTCTAATTTGAATTTTTGCCAGCATAACATCAATAACAAACTCTCCTAATTTTTCCTATACTTTTTTTTTAAAGATTTTATTTTTTTATTTGAGAGAGAGAAAGACAGCATGAGTGGGAGGGGCAGGGGGAGAGGGAGAGAGAGAATCTCAAGCAGACTCCATGCTGAGTGTGGAGCCCAACATGGGGCTCAATCCCAGGACCCTGAGATCATGACCTGAGAGCTGAAACCAAGAGTTGGATGCTTAACTGACTGCGGCACCCAGGTGCCCCTCTCCTTTACTTTTGAAAAATAGTTTGGCTGGATATAAGCTTCTTGTTTGACAGGTTTTTTTTCTTTTCTTTTCACACCTTGAGTATGTCAGCCCAATGCCTTCTGGCCTCTGGCCTTCTGGCCTCCAAAGTTTCTGATAAGAAATCTGTTGATAATCTTATTGAGGATCCCTCATATGTGATGACTTGCTTACCTCTTTCTGTTTTCAAGATTGTCTTTGTCTTTGAACAGTTTGATTATAATGTGTCTCGATGTGGCTGTCTTTGAATTCATTCTACTTGGAGTTTGCTAAGCTTCTTTCTTGTATGTTTATATGTATGTCTTTCATCAAACTTGGAAAGTTTAAAAAAAATAAAACTTGGGAAGGTTTCAGCCATTATTTCTTCAAATAATTTCTCTGCCCCCTTTTCCCTCTCTTTTCTCCTGGGATTTCCCACATGGGTATGTTGTTCTCCTTGATGGTGTCCTATATGTCCCTCAGGCTCTGTTCACTTTTCTTCATTCTTTTTTCTTTGTTTTTCAGACTGGATAATTTCCATTGCCTGTCTTCAGATTCATTGATTCTTTCTTTTGCTTGCTCAAATGTGCCTTTGAATTTCTACTGACTTGTTTTCAACTCCAGTATTTCCTTTCAGTTTCTCTTTAGATTTCTATCTCTTTATTAATATTTCCATATTGTTCTCTTGACTTTCTTCATGTCTTCTTTTAGTTCTCTGAGCATCTTTAAAACAGTTGTTTTGAAGTCTTTGCTTAGTAGGTCCACCATCTGGCCCTTCCAGTGACAGCCTCCATTGATTTTTTTTTTCCTTTGAATGGGCCATACTTGTCTGTTTCTTCGTATGCTTTGTGGTATTTTTGTTGAAAACTGGACATTTAAATCTAATAATGTGTTAACTCTGGAAATCAGAATTTCCTCTGTCCCAGGTTTTGCTCTTTTTTGTTTTGTTTTGTCTTGTTTTTGATTGTTGCAGCTGTCTCTGTGCCAGGCGTCAGCTTGAGGTGTAAACCTAAGATCATCCCACTCTTTTCTGAGCCCATACCTTTCTCTGGGTATGCACTATGACTTTCTAATTTTCCCCATAAATGCAATTTCTTTTGAATGTCCTAGTCTTTAATGTCTGGCTCTCCAAAGGAGGAAAAATAGAAAAATGAACGGGGGTTGGCGTTGCTCCTTTAAATCCTTTGGAAGTCCCTTTAGCCAGACAAGAAAGGGCTTGCAACAGTGGGGAGTGGCGTGTAACGATGGCTTCCAGCCTCTATGTCTATACCTCCATAATCAGAAGCCACAGTCGTTGATCAGAATACAAATCCTGATATGTGGAAGACAAGTCCTTATTGCCCAACCTAGCTCCCACAAGCTGTGTGCAGGCTGCACCTGTAGTTCCTGCCCTGCCTGCCCTGGGGCTGGGAGTGATAGATGGATAGCTGCTGCATTGTTAACAACTGAAATTGACCAGAATTAACTGTAGTTTCCCTTCCAAGCGTTCCCTTGAAAGTTACAAGCCTTCAGTAGACTCCAGAGTTCCAAAATAGTTTTGTCAGACAGATTCTGCCAGTGCAATTGTTGTCTAGGTGGGAAGACAGATTTCCTGGTGCTTCCTACTCTTTCATCTTCCCCAAATCCTGTTTCATTTTTGTAGTGTTAACTGACCACTGTGGTAATAGAAACAAGGGTACTCTGCTACCTCAACCACCAATTTTACTCCTAAGAACATTTTCAAAATTTGTAACAAAGGCCTTTAAGGATTATCTAAGTCATTTGGGTGAGGGGTAGGGAGGCGCAGAGGGAGAGGGAAAGAATCCCAAGCAGGCTCCATGCCCAGAGCCTGACACCCGGGGCTCGATCTAACAACCCTGAGATCATGACCTGAGCCCAAATCAAGAGTCTGACACTTAACCAACGGAGCCACTCAGGTGCCCCTATCTGAGTAATTTAAGAAGCTAATTCCAGCAGGTGTGCATTTTTCTCAATGGAATTACCTAGAGGGAAGCACATGGGTGGCTCAGTCAGTTGAGCATCCAACTGTTGGTTTTGGTTCAGGTCATGATCTCAGAGTTGTGAGATCAAGCCCTGTGTCAGGCTCCTCACTCAGCTGGGAGTCTGCTTCTCTCCTTCACCCTCTCCCTCTGCCCCTCCCCCAGCTTGCACATGTGGTCATGCTTGTGTGCACCCTTGTTTATTCTCCTGATTAGACTGTAGGAATTATAAGCCTTCCTTGAAATTGGTCACTCATGGGAAAATAAAGGATGTTCTCTTTCTTCTTTGCCCAAATAAAAGAAACAAAAAAAAGTCTAAAATTCTGAAATCATATTTATAGAAAGTATTCCAATTTTAATTCCACATAAAATCCAGGATTATGTTCCTAGATTTACATAGTAAAACATAGCTAAGAAACACTATCTCCATTTTCTCACATAGTTTATAAGGCTTAGCAAAAGAGCATGTGAAAGTTTAAAAGCTAGCCTGCAGGTAGAAAAAAAAGATCTAGGCTATGAGAGGAAAATATAAAAATTAGGAGCTAGAAAGACTCTACAATCTTAACCTCCCTGGGAAGATCCACAGTTAATTTGAAAAGTAAGCTGTCTATCCAAATGTTATATATAACATATGTAATACACAGTTTAATAATAAATAACTACTATTTATTGTGTTCTACAATTTAATTATAAAAAGTATGTCTATAATAATAACATTCATATATTCATAGTTTGAAAGGAGGTCAAAATATGGCAAAAAATGTATCTCAATTTAATCAAATCAACACTTAGTTTACTATTTGGTAATGCCTGAATTGGTAAAAATGAAAATGTTTTAGAAATGTACATTTCAGGTTATAATGTAAAAAATAACTGGAAAAAATTCCATTCTTTTTTTTACAACGTTAATGTATGGACTGAGTATAATTCTGTGTATATATGTGTTTCTTTCAGGGCTTGTGGTTGGATTTATCCTAACCATTGCAAATTTCAGCTTTTTTACCTCTTTGCTGATGTTTTTCCTTTCTTCTTCAAAACTCACTCAATGGAAGGGAGAAATAAAGAAGCGTCTAGATTCAGAATACAAAGAAGGTAAAATGAATTATGTTTGACATCACTTATTTCGTCCTAAGATATTATAAGCTTATAATCAGAACATGTTTAGACTGTTGAAACAGATAAATTTTTTATGAGAAGAACTTTTAAGCAGTGGCCTAATTTAGTTTATCATTACTTCACCACAATAGTAACAACAGAATTTTAGAAGCATTAAAATCTATCATTAATTATTCTAAAACAATATAGAATGTAGGTAAAGGTACCATCTGACTTTTAGTCATTTTTAAAATTGTAGTCATTTTTCTTTCCTTAAACTTTAAGTTCCTGTAACTGCATGATTTTCCTTCTGAGGAGAAAGCATTTCTTGTCCCTTTTATCTACTTGTTTGTTTGTAGGCGGGCAGAGGAATTGGGTTCAGGTGTTCTGTAATGGAGCTGTGCCCACAGAGCTGGCCCTGTTGTACATGATAGAAAATGGCCCCGGCGAAATCCCAGTAGATTTTTCCAAGCAGTACACTGCTTCCTGGATGTGTTTGTCTCTCCTGGCTGCACTGGCCTGCTCTGCTGGAGACACGTGGGCTTCAGAAGTTGGCCCCGTTCTGAGTAAAAGCCCGCCAAGGCTAATAACAACCTGGGAAAAAGTTCCAGTTGGTGAGTCTTTATTTAAGTTTCTTTAAAAAAAAAAAAAAATGAACCCAAAAAATCTGACTTATTGCGTTTCTTACTTAAGAGCCTTTTAAGAATTTTAGTTAGTCTCCTTAACTGGAAAATTGCTGTCGGCTATTAAATTGATGGTAAGAAATAATATTTGCAGGAAATGTTAGCAAGTCCTAGATAAACAGTACAGAAACACAGAGATATATCAGGAGGAGAGGAAAATGAAGAGAATAATAGAGTGTTTCTTGAGGACCTACTATGTAGTTAGTGCTTTAACAGAAATCTCAGTCCCCTGTTACCATTATCACCAACTACTAAATACCTTTTTGTCTTTGTCATCACCTACCCTTCCCTTCTTATTCCCTTCCCCCGCCACTTTCTCCTCCTTTTTTCTTCCTCATGTCCTTTTCATTTTTTCTCTTCATCATTATTGTCATTATCCTTAATACCCTTAATATTCATGTGAATTGGTTCTTTTATTTCCACCTTACTAACAAGGAAATTAAGAGAAGTTAAGTAACTTAGAAATGGCAGAACTAAGATTGAAACCAGGCAGTTTGGCTCCATTGAACCATTCCCCTGCATTGCTTAGCATGTCATGAGTTAATGAGGAGAAAAGACTCCTTTTTAACTAGACTATGGTCTTTGGATTGTATGAAAGAGAACCTTTTCTTTGAATTAGTCTTGATAAGATGGGTACCAAATTTTTTTTTTTTTTTTGCTTTCCTTGATTTTATGTGTTTGTTGATTGTTAACCAGATTATTTTATCTGTGTTTTTTCTTCAGGGACCAATGGGGGGGTCACAATGGTGGGCCTTGCCTCCAGTCTACTTGGTGGTACCTTTGTGGGCATCACGTACTTCCTCACACAGTTGGTTTTTGTTAATGATTTAGACATTTCTGCTCCCCAGTGGCCAATTATTGCATTTGGGGGTCTGGCTGGATTACTGGGATCGGTTGTAGACTCTTATTTAGGAGCTACAATGCAATTTACTGGTAAGAACATCACTTTATTATTGCAACTTATTGGTGTATTAAATGGGAAAGAAATGTGGGGGAGAAAAACATGGCAATGAAAACAATCCCAAAGACAGAGGAAATCAAGAGGCCAGGAACGATGGACAGTCTTTTCTACAATTTTGATTTAAAAAAAATTTTTTTTGTTAAATTAATTGAAAGAGAACTAGTCCCACAGAGCGATGAGTAGAAGCTGTGTGGGGAGGAAACATAGTGATAGTGCAGGATAGTGATAGTGCAGGAAACAGATGCTTTTGCTTTGGGGACTTCACCTAATCCCAGGGCAAGCAGAACATTTGGGATCAGATCATTTTAATGCTGCACCTTCCATCTGTTTTCAAAGTCCATTTGAGAGAGAATTACTGTACTACTATGTACAAATATGACCTATTTTTCTACTGTGACATAATGCTTTCTGTCCCCACTGAATTTTTAGCCCCACTCAAGATATATGGGAGTTGGTTTTCCCCAGAATTTTCTATTTGCTTTGCTTCTGAGGCTCTCTTGTCATTTCAGTGTACTGACATATTCTGTTAGGTGTGTATTTCCTCCACATTCTGACCATGTTTTCTCCTTTGATTCATACGGTTAAGAGGCTGGGATTTGGGGGAGTTTCCTTGTGTACAGTCCTTCCAGTTCTCTTCATGTGCCAAGATACTGTTCTTGCCCTTCTGCTTTGCTCCCCACCTATCACAATGTTTGTTCTCTCAGATTCATTTCTCTTACCTAAATACTAAGGAGGAAGCAGTCTGATTTCAGTTCAAGCTAAAGGTCACTAACTCTACACACACACACACACACACACACACAGAAGTTTCTGACCACATTGAGTGGGTTGAAAAAATTAACGTAGGCTGTGGGAAAGATTAATTCCTTCGGTAAATTCTTTGTGTGCCTCCTTTGTGGTGGCACCGTGCTGGGTCCTGGGTTTCCATCGCAGAGGCTGAAGACATGATCCCTATTCTCAGAGACCTCACAGGTTGGTCTTGGAGGCCTAATCTTCTAGTTTCATGCTCTCTCTGCTGTTAATGTTCTTCCTTCTTCCTGTGAAGGAACTCCAGCAGTGTTGAGAGAACAGTATTGAGGTGTACTAAAACTCACATTTCAAAAAAATCCTTAGTAATCAAGGGTTCCATATCTCTCACCATATAATTATCCACTGAAGGCAATTTATAAGTGGTTGAGACTCTTTCAAAGATTGTATTCTTTGGAGGAGAAAAGCTAATTTGTTTTAGATCAAGTCATTTGGATCTTCCACCTCACTTGCTTCTTTTCCACTCCAGGTTTAGATGAAAGAACTGGCATGGTGGTCAACAGCCCGGCGAATGAGGTGAAGCACATAGCAGGAGAACCGATTCTTGATAACAACGCAGTGAATCTGTTTTCTTCTGCCCTCATTGCCCTCTTACTTCCAACTGCTGCTTGGGGTTTTTGGCCCAGGGAGTGAACTTTTTTCATTTACAAAGGTTGAAACTGCAGTAAATTTAGCTAATTTTGCAATTCCAAATTTCATCCTAAGAAGAATCATTGTAATTGGCAAAGAGGAAATACCGGCTCTTTCCATATTCATTGTAATGAAATTCCACATTGTTCCTCTCACTAAATCCCTTGTAACAGCTAACGTCTTTGTAGTGAAAGATAAGTGTACTTAGAATTTATCGTATTTTTCTTCTGCTGAATAGAGCTTCGTGAGCAATGAAGCTATACTATCCCTAAATATTGCTGTATGTTGGACTAAAAGTGTAATACCACTTGTGCCAGTTACTGAAATTTTAGTTTTGGGTGGTTTAAACTGATGTGTGTGGAAGCCTGAATAAGTGTAGTCCTCACTTCTTCCATTACTTGCCATTTCCACTTGTGAAAAGTATGGAGTATGGTTCTTAGTGAGCTACTCCACATGTGTTCTTCCTTCCTCAGGGTTAGTAATGAAAAAAAAGTAAATGTCTTTTTCATATGACCATTAGACTGCATGAAAAAAATTATTTTTAAGTAAAAACAAGAGATTTATCTTCTATCGAAAAAATGTGCACCTTATATTTCAGTTGATTTTTGAGCAGAAATTATCTTGAATTTAATATTTTTTAATGTATTTTCTAGCTTTCTTTGAAATTTGTGTAGGAATCTGTTTTATTTTGGCACCCTGAACAGTTAGTCACTGGAAAACTATTGTAATTATTTTTTTGTTTGCTACCTAGAATTCATTGGAAGATGCTATGATTTCCTATTCTGTGTTTAAGTTATGCTCTCCCGTACAAGATAGACTCAACTAAAATGAATTCTACTTTTCTGTTTGTTCTTCAGTGTGATTTATTGTATGCTAAAGGAGTTTGATATGGTATGGATTATTTTGCTGAAAGTATTTAAAAATACTTCTCATGTGATTTCCATACATTCCCCCCCTTCTTTTGAATTTAAATTTAAATTGAAGAGAGATTCCATGAATAAGCCACCATTATTAGAGTGGATAAAGCTTAGACTTCTTTACTGGTGACTCTACTACAGTGGTAATTGAGAACTGAGTTGATTCTGGAAAAAAGAAAAAAGAAAAAAAAAAAAAAACAGTTGACACCCTTAATCCTTAATCCAAGCAACAGAGGGAGTCTCTATCATTGGTTTTCGCCTTTGGGTATACATTGGAATCACCTGAGCATCTTTTAAAAGAAATACTTGTGTCTGGGCTTCACTTCCAAGGATTCCAATTTACCTGTTCTGGGGTAGAGCCTGGGTATTAGGACTTTTTAAGAGCTCTTGCTGCACGTGAGAATTATATAGGGCATTTGTTGGTTTTTCAAGATTTTTTTTTTTTTTTTTAAGTAATCTCTACAGCGAGTATGGGGCCCAAATTTACAACCCCAAGATCAAGAGTTGCATGCTCTACCAACTGAGCCAGCCAGGGGTAGGGCATTTTTAGAAACACGTGCCAAGGCCCCTCTCTAGACCAAGTAAATCAGAATATCTGAAGGTGAGGCTCATGCATAGGTTATTTATAGAAAGCTCTCTAGGAGATTCTAATTTTAAACAGAACTAAGTCAGAATGTCCTAAAGCACAATACATAAAAGCTTCAAAAGAGTGGGACTTCATTTTTATGCAGACAACTATTAGTAGCAGTGCTGTATGCTGTCTTTATGCAATAATAGTTTCTAGTAATTATACCGTGTCTTATAGTTACATCACTTACCAGATCATTCCTGTGTCAGTTTTTGATGCAGCCTGTTTATTCCTATAGCTGTTCCAACATGCCTTTTCTCTTTTCCTGGTGACCCATCCTCATGACATACCATGGGATAAAAATACTTATTGCAACCATCTTTGGGTTTGATAGTATCTCCATATCATTAACAGGTTAGGGAAATACTGCTTGACAAGCCTTTATTTGAAAACCTAGGGCTAGTTGTGTTTTAAAATCAAAATTTTCAGATTTTAGAAAACTAAATAGAGTACATATATTTTACTCAAACTCTCAAAAGAGTCTTAAGATAGCAACCATTCTCAAATACACTAATATTTCTATGGTGAATGTATGAATAGCACCACTAAGTGTGGTAACTGAAGACTATAAAGAGCCTCAGGTCAGGTCAGTTTTGTCAGCAAATTTAGGAAGAAACTTTTTGTTTTCAGAGCCTTTTTTGGATATGAGAATTATAGGTAAGGAATTGTGGCTCTTTTTGCTTTAATCTTAGCTGTACTTTATTATAACATCCTTTGTAATTGGATATTTAACTAGTTCAATCTATTCTTCCTCTTTACTAAGTGAACAATTTATTTTAAAAACACTTTCATAGAATTCCACCTAACAGTATAATAAAACAGTATGTACTGCCTACCTAGGCAGCCTAAAGGTATACATACCACTTCTTAAAACACTGTTATGCAATAGAGAGGAAGGTGTATGTGGCTCAAGGCTTTTGAAGCTTTTGAAAGAGATCTGAAGACTTAAAGGAGTGGCATTTGAGGACTCATCAATTGGAGGTACCAGGAGAACAATGAATTGATACAATTGGTCATTCCATTCTTAAGTTTTTCTCATTACTTGGGTTATATATGCCTCAGCCAAGGTGCATATATCTCTTTCTTGTTTTTAACTCCTATATATGTAGGATGCTGCCTTCAGAAATGCCAACCCCATCCCAATTAGATAAAGACCTAGTATAGAGAAAAATCATGCAAGGTGAGATATCATAAACTTTGCCTATGCCTGTAGTATTAACAGTTGCTCCCTGTTACACACAGTCGGTATATTGGAGCCCAATCATGTCCCTGGTGTTTCATCTGCTGTTCTGATGTCATCACAATGAGAAAAAAAGTGTTGTAGCCATCAAATTTCAGGTGAATTGTACATGCTTTAAAGATGAAAACACAATTATGAGTTAAATGATTTAATCTCCTAATGGAGTATCTGTTGCTATAATTCCAAATGGTCCTGAATATTTTAAAAATATATAGATGTTCAATATATGTTAAATTAAGTTTGACTGTAATCAGTGTTTCCTTTAAGAGTCACTGAAAGTTGATAATCAGAACATTTTTCTGGAGGAAAATCAAAAATAAAACTAGTCTGGCTACCTGAATTTCTGAGGACTGTGATGATTCCATTTCTCAATCATGTGATGTGCTATTAATGGTTTGGGAACTAATGAGTCAGGAAATGATAGTAAGGGCAAGGCTCCTAAAATTGTTTTCTTTGCCAAGACTAGACATGTTAACTCTCATTCATCACCCCTTTCAAAATGTATTTTATGCATGTGGCAACTCTTTTTATGTTTGGGGTTTTTTTTCTTTTTGTTTTTGCATTTCTTTTTTATTTTTTTAAGGCATCTCTACTCCCAGTGTTGGGCTTGAACTCACTCACGACCCCAAGATCAAGAATTGCATGCTCCACTGATTGAGCCAGCCATGTGCCCCAGATTTATTTTCTTTTTTAATTAATATTTGATTATTTATGTAACACACTGAATCTATTCTTTTAATTTTTTAAAGATTTTTTTTAATTTTTATTTGAGAGAGAAAAAGATTGAAAGAGCGTGAGCGCACACAAGTGGGGGGAGGGGCAGAGGGAGAGGGAGAAGCCGACTCCCTGCTGAGTGGGGAGCCAGACACAGGCTCAATCCCAGGACCCGGGGATCATGACCTGAGCCAAAATCAGACACTTAACCAAGTGAGCCACCCAGGTGCCCCATGCTGAATCTATTCTTCTTAAAATATTAGAATATTAGAGATAAAGCTAAAATATCCTTTTGCCTCCACAACTCAATAAACCAAACCGTCCACCTTCCCCAGAGTAACTACTGTTAGAAATTTGAGATATTTTCTACACAATAATTGTTTTGAGTATATTTTTAAATTTTTTTTTTTTAAGATTTTATTTGCCAGAGAGCGAGCACGCACACAAGCAGGGGGAGTGGCCAGCAGAGGGAGAAACAGACTCCCTGATGAGCAGGGAGCCTCACGTGGGCCTTGATTCCAGGACCCTGGGATCGTGACCTGAGCTGAAGGCAGATGCTCAACCGACTCAGCCACCCGGGCGTCTCTGTTTTGGGTGTATTTTAACACATTGATTCTTTTTAATCAATGAAATTTTGTTATAATTAATACCATTTTGCTGCTTTAAGTTGGATGCCTACATTCAAGAAAAATCTATTAAGGAATAAAGGTTAGAATATACCAAAATATTAATGTGTTCTTTCTAAAATTTCTAGAATCCAAATGTGTTTCTTCTACCAATCAAGAAAATATTCAAAATAATCTCTGGAAATCACCCTTCTTCCCCATCTACCCCTCCCCATCTTTGTTTTATTTATTTATTTTTAAAGATTTTATTTATTTATTCATGAGAGACAGAGAGGCAGAAGGAGAAGCAGGCTCCCAAGGAGCAGGGAGCCCGATGTGGGACTCGATCCTAGAACTCTGGGATCATGACCTGAGCCGAAGGCAGACGCTTAACCATCTGAGCCACCCAGGCACCCCCCATCATTGTTTTAAATGGTATTCCTTATTAACTATCTTATTAGCAATCAAAAGAATAAAATGGGGGCACCTGGGTGGCTCAGTAGGTTAAGTGTTTGCCTTCAGCTCAGGTCATGATCCCAGGGTTCTGGGATTGAGTCCTCATCAGGCTCCCTGCTCAGTGGGGAGCCTGCTTCTCCCTCTCCATTTGTCCCTCCCCCTGCTTGTGTGTGCTCGCTCGCGCTCTCTCTCTCTCTCAAGTAAATGAATAAAATCTTTAAAAAAATAACTTTTTTTAAGATTCCCAGTCATGAAGCCTGAGGCAACAGTGTAATCTAGTTGTTAAAGGCTTTAACTTTAGGGGCCTGTGGGTGGCTCAGTAGGTTAAGGGTCTGCCTTCAGCTCAGGTCATGATCCCAGGGTCCTGGGATCGAGCCCTACATCTCGCTCTCTGCTCAGAAGGGAGCCTGCTTCTCCTTCTCCCTCTGCCTGTCACTCCTGCTTTTGCACGCTGTCTTGCTCTCAAATAAATAAAATCTTAAAAAATAAAATGGGAGTATAATATAATGAAAAATAACTGGATACTCAAAGCAATACTTTAATACCTTCACTTTTGGATTGTTGCAAAAATTAATATAAGTATCACATATCTCTGTACCTGTGTGGTATATTTTGAGTGTGATTTTTTTTTTTGCAAAGTTTTCAAATTCTGATCTTAGCTGTTTGCATTTGGAATTATACATGGCAAACACCTTTGACAAAATTCTCAACACGTTGTCGTGGAGTTCTAGAACAAAG